AGACAATCTAATAGTTATTGATAATTGCCTGGACCATCTAAATACTTTCTCTGTCTGGAATCAATAAGAGTTTATATAGAACACGTTCTCTTATTGTTCATATTTTTATAAAGATGTTAGAGAGATGGTGAAATTTTATTAATGACATTACAAATTGTTGAGACATTCTAAGTTTCATAAGAATAATAGCTGTTGTTAATTAATTTCTGTTATCTTCAACGTTTTACATCTTGTAATTTTTGTATTTGTTTACAAGAGTTACTGTCAATTCTAGCTGAAGGATATATGTAGTGTGATCGTTAAATATCTCTTTCGCGTCGATCGAGTCGAGAGATCGAAGGTGAGATGGAGAGGAAGAACGATGGGGAGAGAAATGAGAAGAAACAATTAAGCTAACGTGTGCCACTGTCATATCAAGCCTATATCATCGTGTTACATCGTATACATAGCTAAACAGAAAAGATAATATTATCGTTAATTGACACAATTGTTAACACAAAACGAGTGTTCGCGAAGCATGAATGCGTTGTGTGTCTGATAAATCAATTAAAAAAAAAAAAACTGGCAACATTATTTTTTCAGCGTAGAATTTTTTAACAAAATCGTATAACTCCAGATACTTATCTCACTTTTACAATCTCACTTGTACCCAATATTCGATGTTTCTAAAATTCTCGACTCTTGCCCATCTTGATTAACATTTGTGAATACCAAATCTAAGTCACTTTCGATGTTTCAACTCTTTGATATATAAAACTACTTAACTCGATAGTAATTCTAATTTGCAATTTCTGTTTCACGAGTCGCAGGAAATATGTGACCATGTGCACGAACGGGGAATGCGATAGACACAGACAAAGCATCAAATCGAATTTCTTGTTGACATATTAGATTCTACTAACGTAATATAACAATATAATATATAATAGTAACATATTACCCGATCACTCCACAAAGATCCTTTCGATACAATCGATGTCGTAGAATTTTTGTCGTCCGCGTTGAAACAGTGAGAAAAGTTTAAGTGAGAGAATGAACAAGGGGGAGGATGCGATTGTATTTCGCAACGGATCGCGCCTAAGTTATTAGAAACGTATAATAAACGGTAGGATAATAAGTACTCGTTAAACTGTAGGTCCGATTTCATTTATCCGCGAGATCATTGATCTGTGTTCAGCAGAGAAAACTATAAGTGATTCTTTAATATCTATGATTGGTTCTTGTACTTCGATTTAGCGAAGAAATAAAGACAAGGTTCAATCATATTAAAGAATCACTAAGCGCTAACTGATTAGTTTTCTCTGCTGAACGTAATCATTGTTACTTGACTTTCGTCCAGAATTCGACACCGCGCTTATGTTTAAAATCGATCATTTCCGTGAATGAAGAGTATCTGTAAATTATTACTTATTGATGATTAAATAATTAATACGTAATTACTAAATGCCCTCTTACGCCTAAAGTAATTTTTCAAAAAGTATTACTCGAGGAAATACAAGGCTTAATCGCACATTATCGTGATAAACTTTTCACCGTGTAATCATTCATTGATTTATCGGTTATCATCGAAATCCTCCCCTCTAACCTCACCAATTTATACGGCATTTAAGGTAATCCTAAAGTGAGACTACAGAGTGAGACGAGAACGAGAGGCCGAATAAAAGAAAGCGAAAGAGAAGCGGTCCTGATATTATTTTTTGACTCGTCACTATTAAGTGTCCACGATAAGAAAATACCAAAAAAAGAAATACGATTTTTATGTGAATATTGTAAGGAACGCCGTATCTGCGTTATTGTAATCCTTATTGGATGCTATTTCGAGATAAAATTTAAAAAAAAAAAAGGAGATTGAAACTCGTGATTAAAGATTTAGTAAAAATTGTAATAATATAATATATAAGTTAAATTAAGAAAGTAATTATTTATACTTTAATGAATACATAAGTACAACTAATACAAGTATAACAATTCGATATCGACGCTTCTAATTTCTATTATTGCTGTTTTGTTTTTTGCTGGTAATTATATAATAACAGTATTGAAAATACAACGTTCTTATGAGAAAAAATGCTCCAAAGTCCATCGCATCCGATAAGGCTCGACGACGGTACGACGTGATTTTAACCCGCTCCTTTTCTATTCTCCAATTTCTACGTGTTTAATCGCTAAATGAACAATTGATAACAAGTCTTTAACGAAGAGGAAATGCTAGGAAACGTTAGGAAGGAGAGACGCTTCGATTACTATTACTGTGCAACGTTTATCGTTAATAACCTCGAAGAATCTCGACGCAATACAATTTTCGATCGCGTGTATATACCTAAGCGAATGATAATAATATAACAACTGGGACATAAGTCAAAAGTGTGAGAGTATGCGTGAAAGAGAAAAAGAATGAAAGAGAGGGAGAGAAAGGGGAAGATAAAGAGGACAAGAATATACGAGTGAGATAGGTCTTGTTTCGCCTAGTCCTCGCGACGCTTAATTAATTGGGCGTCGTATATATCTCGAGCGAGTGTTGCGCTTAATTCGCCGGAAATCAGCGAAATCGCTTTCGTGCGTTTTTTTAATGATTTTTTTTCCTCGCGCTTTTTCGGTGATTTCCGGCCTCCGAATAGAAGTCGACAATGATCGTAAGCGAGAAAGAACAACGGATTATAATGAAAAGTGCGACGAAATTAGGAATATAAGGTTTACCGAAGTAAGTTAAGAGATAAGTTAATTAAAGTAACAGTTTATTGAAAATTAAGTACATTGTTGCAACTGCCATGCTGTGTGCCATTATATAACGAGTCACGTTTGTCGTAAAAAGCAAAAAGAACAAAAAAAAAAGAGAGAAGAAGAGCTGAAGATGAAGATGAAGAAGAAGAAGAAGACGTTAGCGGACATACGAAGTAATGTAGTATGTCTGAAATATTTGTGCGCGTTCTCGTCTGTCTGAAAAACTTCTTGATTTACAATGCTTCGAAATCGTGGAATTACACCGTCGTCCTCGCACACGTCGCATTAAAAATCCCTCCTGATAATGCAGTATTTTGTTATACAATTTACTATACTATTACGAGAATTTACATTTTTACCGAACAACGGTGGCAGAATTTTTTAAATGATACGTAATGCGCGGGGAGGAAATTTACAGGCCTTTTCTTAAGCTGTATCGACTATTAGCTTCGAAGATATGATTTCACTAGTAAATATATTACTCGACGGAAAAGAGAGAAACACGCGTCGAGAGGATATGACGGGAGAGTACGGAAAGGACGACGGGGTAAATACCCAACAGAGCCCAGATATCGCGCACGATTTCGCTCGAGCTCGTGGAACTCGCGTGTATCCGCTTGCGCAAATCGCGCGTATATGTGGACATGAAATATATTATAGTAATAATATCGTGACTTGACGTACGCGGAACGTACATGCACGTTTTAGTACACGCGTATATAGGCATGTGCGCGACACTTTGCACGTGAGGAACGAGGCTCCCGAAATTAAATTCACGACGAAATTCAGCGCGACGATCCGTTTCTGCGATGGCAAGACACGATCGCCGAAAGTAAGAGAAAGTCTTGCAAAAACTTTCGATCGATTTCATTATTTCGACGAATGCGGCGATTATGATGAGATTTTCTGTATAGATATAAATATATATATACATATATATAACATCTGTTAATAATAATTTATTACGCGCGCTAAGTCGTTTCGTTACACCGCGTTACGTAGAAAATTTATCGATGTTGTTAACGATTGTCTTCCTTTGATAATCGATAGCCTGTATGTAATGGCCACATCCGTCGCTGTTAGTAAATTCGCTGTAATACTGTTATTAATGAAATTACATAAACGAGTATAAGTATTCAGAGATCTTTTGTTTAATTCAAGGTATTCATTTTAATTGAAACTCTTTGATTTACTTTAAAAATTTAATGCAATTAAACATTCTAAAATGTATCGCAGGTATGTATATTTAAATATATATTAAATGTGTATTAAATATTTCGATTTTTATTTAAAATAAATTGATCGTATAAATTTGAAAAATTTATGTATTCGACATACAATATATATACATACATATACAACTATATGAGGAACAAAATTTTTGTTTTCACGAAAATTCAGAGAATTAAAAATATAAAAATGTTTAATGTTTTTATGGCGATTCGTCGATGACCAAGTAGCAACGGATCGCTATGATTGCACGAGCCGATTTCGTGTATCGCGATGTCTTGCGAGTATAATCCACTCTCGTTAGTTGACAACCGACGATGTGTTGTGAAATAACAAGGAAAAATTTAATAAGTAATCACGTAAAGAGAGTGAGAGAGAAAAAGAGAAAACAAGGTAACGTCGACCCATCATAGATTCAAGCACAATAAGGACTAGTAGGGCCAGGCACAATAAAATTCGGCCGTCACGTTGTAGGCAGCGATCTGTTAGAGCGACAATTCATATAAGTATCCATATAGCGAGGCTATTAAATAAACACATATTGTCTATTGTCCGACGAGTGTATTTATTGTTGACGCTGATCGTTCCCTTCTGCAAGCCTCTAAGCAATCTGATATTGAAATAAATATCTCACGGAGGAAAAGACTAACATTTACTCTACACTCATTGACTCCCCACTTACCATTCCTGAAAATATTTAATTATATTTTATATTATTTATACTGTGCAATATGTATTGTAAAAAAATAAATAATATGAAGCGACTTCTAAATAATATACATAATAAAAATGTATATATTATATAATATATATAATATGCATTACTAATTTTTATTTAATATTTGAAATTCCTACATGTTTAAGAATTTAACATTTCATGTTTATACGTCATTGTTTTAGCATCATATATTTGACGTATTTTAGAATCTGAAGTCAGCTTCCAAAACATTTTTTTTTTTATTTTAGCTAAGGGTATATGATAATTATTTAACTGTTATTTAGTGATAATATCCGACTTGCATTACAATAATAAAGAAAGGACAGCAAATATGTCAATGAGCACAAATGCTTTAGTGACAGAAAGTAAGATAATGCAGTAATATTACATTACAATTAGGTTACATTAAAATTATAACCTAACGTATATTATATAATTTATTATTTTTATAATTTTATAATTCTAATTTTGTATTTCACTATAAAGATTTTTTCAATGTATTAACATAATATGAAATCTTAAACTTATATCAACTATAACAAAATGTTCATAAGATCGGATTATCGTAAATATAATTAGATGAACTAAATTAAACATCAATTGATATTTATCTATGAGAAAATGGTTCATCTTTATATTCAATATATCATTAACATATCGAAAGAGTCCAATAACAAAATATACTATGAGACAAATCTGATAATTAACATGAAAAATGTTAATGTTTTATTTAAAATATTCACAATTTAATGAATTATATTCAATTCGTAGTCTATCATTCAAATCGATTGTCGCGAGCTCGATTGGAGCAACATACCAAAATATTCGCGTCTATGTGTCCCGATGAAATCCTCGATTATTATGATGATTACGAGACCAGAGAATATGACACAACGTTGATGCTCGGCGATGTTTCAGGTTAAAGACATTTGTCATGAATTATTACATATATGTTGTTGAATTATCACATATCAATCATTATTATGACGAATCACGAATTGTGCAATTTTAATTTATACGTGCAGGTTTCACAGACCTCACAGAAAAATACACGAAGACCGGTGTTGGTGGTCCGTCTAAGTTATCGGAAACTTTGAACAGCTATATCGGCGCAATGGTACAGGAAATCCTTTCTCATAATGGGGACGTCGTGAAATTTTCTGGCGATGCATTTATAGTAATGTGGAAGCTCCAAGAAGGGATGCTTATGCGCGATATCGCGACGGAGGCGATGCAAACTGCATGCATCATACAAAAGCATTTTGGAACCTATAACACTGACGTTGGTGTAACGCTCAGAGGTACAATTGCAATAATAATGCATTAATGTGCGTCAAAGTGTTAAATTCTAGCATTTTTAGTCAACGTTAATAAATTTGTAGATCAAAGTTTACAAGCGTTATAACAGTCAACAGATTTTTACATTTTTTAAGAACATCATACAATAAAATGCAGAATCTCCAATAAGACGGTAGCTAAAATAAGTTAATTCAATAATATTTTTGATAGTAAAACTTGCTATTGCTTCCGGGATAACGTACTTCACGTCTATTGGCGATCCAGAAACAATGTCTTATTATGTCATTACTGGAAAACCTGTTTGGGATGTAAAGTTCGCCGAAGGATTATGCAGGTATACTGTGAAATATTATCTAATATTTTAACTTATCATTTAAATGCAAGTAGGTATAAATTACTCAATAATATATATAAATTTAAAGTGAAACAAATAAAAGAAGGAACAAAAATAAAATTCATCTACTTACGTATAGTCTGTTCATTTATTTATACATTTGTAAGTTAAAAGGTGATACTTAAAAGAATAAAAAATTCTCCGCTAATTTAACTTAAATTTACTTTCCGTTAATTTTATGAGAGGTAAACAAATTAAATATATGTATAATAATACAATAAATTTCATCTAGAGGTGGTGATATTCTTGTGGCACCCAGTAGCTGGCAATGGGCAAATCCTAGCGAATATGTTTATGAAAAGTTACCGGACGGTATACATACTTTAATCATAGCTTGCTCAGTAATGTGGTATCAGTCTAGACCTCACGATGTTCACAACGGTATTAGAATCAATATATAATTTTATATTGCAAATATGTAAAGAATCTCATTCTAAGTAATAAAACGCATGCAAGTGATAGATGACAGGCATACCGAACATGATAGAAATTTCCTTGAGTTATCGCGTGATGCAAAAGCGACAAATAGTGCAACCTTAACGAACTGGACCGGTAATACTCAAACAGAACATTTCGAGGAAGTTGATTATAGCTGTGAGTAAAAACATACAATCTGCATTAGTACATATTATATTACACGTTATCTGGAGACACGGCAGTGTCGTTGCGCCTGGCTTAGCGCCGAGACACTATCGTGTCTCCAGATATTTAAAAACCTACGAGGTACTATCCTTATTACTTACTTAATTCTAATGTAGCATTTGTTATCATTTGTATAAAAGATTTGATATCAATAGTCGGCGCAAAGTTAAATTCAATAATACCTTATTACTTACTTAATTTTAATGACATTTATTATTTGTATAAAAGATTTACATCATTTTGAATTGATTAGATTGCATATTGTATTTATAAACTCAGTAAGCAAGAACCATTAAATCAACATTTTGAAACATTAATTTTATGTGAATTTTATCTACGTTTTCATCTAATATTTTATAAATGTGATTGTAATATTATCTAAAATATAATGTTCCTGAACATTTAAGAAATGTTTTAATAATGTTATTCTGAATATTTTGTAACTATATAGCACATAAAAAGAATGTTGCTGAGATTATTAAGTGTTAATGTGTGAATATTTTTTCAACATTGAATTTTTGTTGATTTTCCTATATTGATCATCAGTGTTGCTAAAACGTTAAAACAATATTGAGCAAATTATCGAGGAAGTAGTACGCAATATCACTTGTAGATAGACGTAACAGAGTAACTTTCTCGTATTTAAAAATTACATAGGACAAAATAAAAAGCGTAGCATCATGAGAATTTTTACCAGTGTTTTAATGAAAATGATTTTGAAAAAGTGATCCAAGGGCATCAATTCAAGGTACTAATATTGTTGGAAGTTTATATGATGATAAACATTAAATCAATTTTCAAAATCGAATATTGTGCTGCAATGTCTGTACGATATTATTTTAAGAAATACAAAAAGTTTGTGCAATATTTGTTCAACATTGTATGATGTTTCAATTCAAAATTTTTGAGATTTAATTCAATATTAATGCAACATTATTTATAACATTACTTCATGACGAAATGTCAATATATTATAGAAACCTCCAAATTGCGGTCAAAATTTGTTCATAATGATGCTGTATACAACGTTAAATACAACATATTTGAAAACGTTACATGTTTTTAAAAATCGTTGTAATAACGTTGTAGTGTGTAATAAATTAATAATGTTTTTTTTTTTGCTTACTGAGAATATTCAATTTTGTAGTGAGACCCAAAGTTATAAAGGCAGCTAAAGAGGGATTGAAAGATTCATTGAGAAGCTACATGCTTAGACCAGTAATACGATCAGTAGAGATGGATGATCCGTTAGAACATCTTACAGAGATGAGACAAGTGGTCATACTCTTCATCAACATCGTCACAACGGTCATGGATAACGAAGAATTGATCTCGCTTGTTAGCGCGGCTTATAAATTAGTCTGCGGGTAGATATCTAAATTTATATTTTTACTCGGTTCTTTTAATTTTTGTAATAATTAATGATTTTTCATTTTTTAAGGGTAGTGTGTGAGATGCACGGATGCGTGAACAAGACATCCCTTTTCGACAAAGACCTTATATTTCTTTGCATATTTGGACTGCGGGGCGACAAACACGTGATGGAATCACAGATCGGATTGAGATGCGCTAGTAGGGTACGACAGGATCTTCTAGCGATAAAAAATGTACAATCCGTGACAATCGCTGTTACCACCGGAATGACATATTGCGGTGTGGTCGGTCATATTTTACGGAGGGAGTACACTGTAATCGGAATGTCAGTCAACAAAGCAGCCCGTTTAATGGTTGCATACAATAACAAAGTAATTCAAATCTGAAATAAAGAATTATTTAACTTTTGTTCATATTCTGCTTATTTTAGATCAGCTCATTAAAAACAAATAAATTTTCTTTCACAAATATATATGGTTATTAAATAAAAAACAAGTTACCATCGACAATTTTTTGAATTTTGACGTCTTTATAATTAAATGTAAAAAACCAAATGTTTACTTTTATTTTATACAGCAGTGTAATTCTTATCTTTAAGGTAATATGCGATAGAGAGAGTTTCTTACGTTCTCGTCTTGAAGCGAGACACTTTACGTTACAAGAACCAAGACATCTGAAAGGAATCACAAACGTTGGTCCAGTTTATGAATTTCAAGAACAGATAAAGTATTTTGCAATTTTCTGGAAATTCCCGTTTCTCTTCCTAAATTATTATTTCTTACTGATACCTATATGAATTTATATATAATTACAGGTTTCCTACGCCTGAATTAATACGGAAAAAATATCCTTTGCTTGGACGACAAGAGGAAATCAAAAGTTTTCGACAAATACTATCAAATTTGATGTCACATTTTTCTACGGATGTAACAACGCAGCATTCGCAGCCCGATCACAATATGCTGATAATAAAGTGAGCGATTTAATTGAAACTTTAATTTAATTTCTTCATTTGTAATTTTCTTGACTATCAATTTGCAAATTATTTTTATAACATTTATTAAATTTTTGTATTAATCTAATCTAATGTTTATTATCTTCTTATTTAGAGGCGAACCGAGAATCGGCAAGACGAGATTGTTGGACGAAATTGCGCAGAATATACCTACAAATGTGTCACGCAACTATATCTCCTTGGTCATGAGCGATGCTAAGGTTGATTGCAAGACTTTTTTTATATCTTATATTTAATTTAATTGATGATATTAGAAGTACACACACACAAAATCAAATGTTTATTCTTCTTTTGTTATTTTAATTAGAAATTATTATTTCAATAGATCTCACATATCTGTTAAATAATTATTAACTGAATTTTTTAATTTTTTTGCCAATTAAAGATTAAGAGTCAGAACAGAGTTAAAAAATCAGTGGTTTTTTTTTTAACGCAGACTTCTTACAGTTTGATCCACCTGATATTTTCCATACCGTTGGGCTTCAGTGTCGTCACCACCCCGAGGGAGCGCGAAGAAATACTAAAGTCACGACTAGGCTGTGTACGCAAACCAGAATTTCTCTGTGCCCTTAATCAGCCCTTCAACGTGCATTTCATGATAAATCCACACTACACAGCATTATCCAGGAAGCGAAAGCATAATGTGTTGTGCAAGTTTCTACTCAAATTAATGAGAAACTGCTTCAGGGAACTATGGGTGATAATTATCGATGACGCTCAGCACAGTGACAACGATTCTATGAAATTGTTTCGTACGGTGATTAAGCAAACCACAGTCTTCTTCATCCTCAGCTTTGGACGTATGTTTAACGGCGAGTACGAAATACATCCCGATATTTTGGACACAGCACGAGTACGAACGTTGAAATTGATAATTAAAGTGATTTCTCTAACCGTCAATAATTAATGTGTCTCTTCTTTATTTTTCATTATTTTCCAATAACAAATATGTTGCATTAAATTTGCATGCACGATATATTCTTTTATTTTATACATATTTTATACATATATTGCTGTACTACGAGATATAAATAAAACTGTAAATTATTTTTTTTTATTAATATAGATCATCGAATTGGGTCACATAGACAAATGGTATCACGCGGCACTTGCATGTCAGTTTCTTGATGCAAGCGGAATTCCTCCGGAACTCGAGAGGTTAGTAATTATACGCAAATAACTTTTATCGATAAATAGACAAAATATAGATTCCTCTGTCAATATTTTGTGTATATGCACTTTATATTTTTAGACTGATTCAGGAAAAAAGTTTTGGAAATCCAGGTTGGATAGAAAGTTATTTACTGAGTCTCACGCAATCTGGTAGTCTTGTAACAGTACATATCAGCAAAATTATTGCCGAAGAAATGGGTTACGTGCTTCCTCCCATTTATATGCTAAAAAGGTCTTACTATTTTATCTATAATTCTAGATTCTAATTTATTTGATATGTTTATCTTTTCTTGAATATATAATTGTTACCTAAAATAAAATTATATAAAAAAAATGTTTAAAACACAAATCAAGATTAATTACAAAATCTTTCCATATAACTTATCATTGTAGGTTATAATTTTATTAAGTTATGAAACATTTTTTCTTACTCATGAGTGTAGATACATTAATATTATCAATAACAGTAATTAACATAAAATTATTGCAAATACATGATCAATAACTGTTTAGATTTGACTCAGAGGATATCTTTTTAAATAACGAAGAAGAACGTTCAGATAAGTGGAAAATGTACAGGACAAGTTATCGAGTATATTTCCTCTTTTGTGTTTCATTAATTGTTTCACATGATTAATAAATGATAAAAACTTTTGTTTTAATTTTAGAACGGTTCAGTTATACCTTTGATAAGGTTGCAAACTATCCATAAAACGGGAATGCCAATTTGGAATGATGAAGAAACAATTGCAGTTTGCAAATTTACAGAAGGTTTTGTACCAGAAGAGGGAGATGCTGAAGTGACGATGGATGGTAATTAAAACTATTTTTATACTAATTCTTATATAGTTACTTGCTATAGTTTATAAATTATCTATCTTTTTAATAAATGTTTATTTTTATAAATTAATGTTTATTTCTGTTTATATATTATATAATATTTTAAAACATATATTTAGTAATTTGCACAATATTTCTACTTTTTTTATATCATACAATATTTTACAATTATCATGTATTATGCCGTCAGCTATGATTTTGAAAATTTTTGACTCGTTAACACCATTGGATCAAATACTATTAAAATGCGCGTCAGTGTTGGGAGAAATTATCAATCGAAGCATGTTGCAATACCTAATGGAAGATAAATCTACAAGGGAAATTGGACTCGGTAAAGCGCTATCTAGGAAAATACAAATGTTGTAATAACAATTTTCTACAATTCTCAAAGAATATCTTGCACACAACTTAAATAATTATATAACTTTGTTACGCTGTTTAATATTGTTCAAAGTATTCAAAGTATGTTGTTATTGCAGCTATCAAAAAATTATTTGAGATTCGAATCTTTGGATGTGCACGAGGCGATTTTACTACGAGCGGTAGACCGCTGGTATTCAATAGAAATATAAGGGAATCTATTCTTGAGATAGAAATTGCGTGCGAATGTGTGGATCTTATGATACCAGGTGTAATTAAGCAAACATTTAAATATGAAATATAATATTATTTCACTATGTTTGTTTAAAATTTTTATAATAAGAGCTAAATTTATTTAGAAGAACTAATCGATCTACCGCGGTACGCGTCTTGCGGTCTGATGTATTTCAAAATGTCGATGTTTCGCGAAACTACTTACAGGTAATGAATGATTTTATTATTCGGATATACACTATTTTACTATTCGGATAAATTGTAATAATATAGAACAATTTATATATAATATTTAAAATATTTCATAATAATTTCTATTGTTTTATATAGGATTTAAGATTAAGATATTAATAAAATTTTTTTTGATCGTGTCTTTTTACATTTTTATAATATAAAGATCACTCACGGAAAATCAAAAAATGGAATTACATAGTAAGGCGTTGAAATATCTTCGGCAACATACTAAACGGTGTATGGCTTGTGGTGAAATACAATTTATAAAATTACTAGGGAAAACAGCCGTGCAGGAAATTAAAAGAACAAAACTAACTGTCGACATTAATGAGATACATCAACTTGAAGAAGTAACTTATACTTTCAAAGAAGAGACAGAAAAAGGTATTTACTATCTTATTTATCCGAAATCTGTCTTGAATCCAGTTTGTTAGATTAATGTATTATACATATAATTCAGCTATTATATTATACTAGATATGCAGCAATTTTAAAACAAATAACGAATCTTTATGTTATATTCTTGTATTTACATATATAATATATAAAAAGTCATAAATTATAATAATTTTATTGTATAATAATATAAAAGAACATTGTTACAAGATGTGCAACAGGTAGCAGAAAAGACACCAATTTATCTTAATATCTTTCAAAAAGTAAGAAAACCTACCAAGACCTTCTCTAACGTTGACTTTGCCAATTGTCAATGCCATCTTATCTTAATGACTGTCTATGCTCAGATATTAGAACATTGTCAAGGAATCGGTGAGTCCTTAATATTATGCATACTTTCTACCTTAAAAAAACCTTTTGAAAAAAAGAAAAAATATACGCCAAGTACATAAAAAAGGTACTGAATTCTTTTTTTTTTTTTTAAAAGGATTTTTTAAAGGATTTCACAGTTTTTTGTAAATTTACATTTTAAATTTCAGTTACAAGTTTTACATATTAAAAAATATAAATGTTATATTGTACTATCGTACTATCGTACCATTTAAATCCCTTTACGATTACTGGAAAGTTACTTTACAGAAAACATTTATTTAAAACATTTTTTTCATTTTAGGAAAACAAGACGTGATCTTGACGGCAATTTTGGAATTTACGGAGATTTGTTTAGCAAGTAACAATGTACCTCAAGCTCGCAGACTTCTGAGTGATGCTGAAACTCTGGTTCAACAAGTAAGTAAGGCGGATATGACAGAAGTAAAATAGTAAAGTAAATTTAAAAAAGACAAGTTAATAACCCTTAATGATAGATGGTCGAGTCCAGTGAAGAGAAATCAATCTTCTTGTTTTATCTCACCGCAAAAATTCAGACGTTTCAAGGTAAATGTCATTTGGAAAGCGGTTTAATTTCCGAAGCAAGCAAGAAGCTAAACGAGGCAATGAGCAGTCTGGGCTATCATTTTCCTCAACGTAAATTCATAATTAACTTGAAGTCTACGATTCAACTCGAACTGTTAAGATGGAGATTGATCTGTCCTAAGCGTTGGAATATTGACACCGCCGATGAACTTTCTATAAATTATATCGAACAATTGGCTAATTGTTTGGCACTGATGTTTCTTGTTTTCAAAGTAAGCATTATTTATATTGAATTTCAAGACTCAACATAATTGTTATCAATTATAATTAAAAGGGAACAAAACGTATGAAAAAACATGCACGGCTAGCGGCTATCTGGAGCTTAAATGCTGCCCTGGATGCGTCGAATGATTTTCTCACGCTCTGTACTTCATTTACGAATATGATGACTACTGCCCACGTCTACCAAACCAAGTGATAAACTAAATTTAAATAAAATTATTTAGAGCTGCAGAAAATTCTTAAGTTTATTAAATCAATTCATAATAATTTCCACAAATAAAACCTATTACCAATCGTTTGTAGCATTATTAAGTTTATTATCATTTTTTATTCAAACAAAAACATTTGTTACATTATTTAATTCTTTTTGATCAGGTTAATTGTTCCTTATTTGGAAAAAGAGGCTCTCAGTATCTGTGCAAAAAAAGGAGATTTACTTGAGTTTCAAGAGCTTCAAGTCATTGCTGAACTTTATGCAGGAATATTTTTTTCGCGATGGTTGAGAGGAGAAATCAGCAAAGCGATCAGAATCGGCTTTATCACGATGAGGATGGCACAAACTATGGACTCTGTGTTCCTCAAATTACTCGTACTACCAAGATTGATACACTTGCTCATGATTTCATGTCGTCATTCGGAAGTCGTGACTTTGCTAAGAGAGTTAGGTGAGTTCTCCAAATTAATAGACAGACGAATCTTAAATATATCTAATAAACTGTATAAATCAAGCCAATTGATATTTTAGCAACATATAGAAATATATATTTTAAATTTGTATTTACAGAATTCGTATCGCAAAATGATTTGGACAAATCAGGTCGGACTTGGTATTACGCTATGTGCGCTGATGTGCAACTCGATACTGGTCTCACAGTCTTGTCGTTTCAAAATTGCGATGAATATTACATTCAAGAAGGAGAGACCATAATCAGCCTCCACGATCCCGAAGCGGAAAGGAGATATTTCACGTCTATGTGGTTATGGTAAATACGAGAAATTTCGCTTTATAAAATCGGAGAGAATTCATTAGCTCTGAAAATTATACATTATTATTATAGAAGTAAAAGTTTCCATTTTAATATTCATTATTGAAGGTGTATCAGAACACAGCAGTGGGAAGCTATAAAAGTTTGGACCAGCAGGAACGTAACAGCCGAAAGTGTGGTGGATGAGCACAAGGTGGCCGCGACAATTACTGCATTGAAGAAACTCGAGGGACTGTTAATTTTATACGGTAAAGTACATGAATATTTAAATATTATGCAGAAAATATATATGTATATATTTACATAATATTCAAATAATAATCTTATATAAATATATACGTATATATATTAAAGTAAAGTCTTAATTTGCAGTAAGAGAAATTACTAACAGAAATATAAATGCATTGCAAACGTTAACGGAAATCAAGCATGAATTTAGACATGTCAAAAGTATGATAAAAATCGTAAAAATTGCAGTTCCTAGGTATAAAAATATTTTATTTATTATTATTAATAATTATACTTAATTTATATATTATAATTTATATTTTTTGTTATATTTCGCATAAAATAATTTAAAATATAACTCAAAATTATTTTATTTGTTATATCTATATTTAAAGAATTATTTCAAAAATCAAAATGGTTACAGATACATGTTGATGAAAGCTTACTATTATATGATACAATTGCAAAAAAGCGCTGCAATAAAAATGCTACAAAAAACGAAAAGGTTATGTATAAAGGTAGACAACAGAATGATTTATGCATGGGCAAATCATTGTCAGCGGGTACGTTAACATTTTATTTCTATTATAATATCACATAATCTGAATTAAATTTTATTATATTCAGGATTGGCTAGGTGCTATATCTTTTATACATAAGGATTTGTGGACAGAAAAAACCAGGAAGCTTGAGAGATGGGATGAAGTAAATGCCAATGATTCAAAGATGATTCCTTATACATTTCCATTACCAAAATATGTATTGTGAATATCTATAATTTTAATTTAAATATATAATATATATAATATATATTAAGTATATATATATAATATATAATAAGTATGAGAGTATATGAAGTTAGTACAAAATATTATCATGCTATTATTTATTGAAACTTTTCAATACTTAATTGTATAATTATTATAATAAAATTAAATTTTAATGTTAGACAACTTATTAAATAGTTTATTAATTAAAGTGTAATATATATATTAGATATTTCTCAAAGTTTATTTAAATACCTCAAAAAAGTAATTTTCTTGTTTGTTTTTTCAAAATTTAGTTTGTGAAAACTTTATTCTTTTTTGTTTTTCATATGAAAATTCAAACTTTTTTTGTATTTAAAGTTTTAACAACTCAGAGAAAGAAATACTATAAATTAAAATGAGAAAGAGAGAGAGGGAAAGAGAATATCATTTGCATTAAAAATCTTTATATTTCAAAATTTTCAGTACAATTGTAACGTAATGCAAAGAAAAGAAGAACTTAATTATTTTAGATTGATTAATAACACAAAGATAATAGTTTATTGAATATTCGATGGTAGATATCCTTTTTAAGACGTTTATTATCTTTTTTAATTAAAAATATGTTTAAAAGATTTCTGGTATCGGCATACAGAGTATAGATGTAAGTATTTATATCTAAATATATAATCTAGAGCAGATCGCCCTTTGTCATAATATTGAGACATGTCATAAAACATTATTCTGCAAGTAGATATAAGTTTGGTTATTTCACCATCATCATTATATTTAGCTATATTTTGTGGCTCACCGACCAAATGCGGATTGTCAAACGTTATTTATACATGTTGATTATTATGCAACGGAACACGGTGTACGTTTCGTTAGTGATATCGCGTATGCTGAGTTGTTAGAAGTGAATGGTGATCGGTATAAACAAGCCAATGCTACTCGAAAGAGACCTACATATCTTTCTTCTTAACCAATGAAAAGCAGGAACATTTTGTTGCCTAGATCCATGGACCAGAGATTCGAAACGAAGTAACAGACGAATTCAAAAATTTATATTACCTAATTTACTAAATATATATATACATATATATAAGTTATGAAGTATAGAAAATGCACGTCGCGTATTGCACTTTGTTGTACCAGATAATCATATTTTCCAAAACAAAATTTGTGTTTACAATTTTTGCGGATAGTATTTAATGCTTTTAAATAGATATTTTCTGACAATTTTTTCCTCTTTCCTTTTTTTTTAAGTAGCGACTCTTAAAAGTCTTAAATAGGAAAATGAGAAAGATAATAATCTTTTATCGTCTCTTTCATATTTAATTGTAGATTTAATTATTATTTTTGTTAACACATAGTCTAAACTTAAAACAGATGTTTATAGAGTCTATAAATGAACAAAGCATTGACTGAAGAGATTTGCACACGCTCCTTTTGTTCTTTGTGTGAAAAGAAAAAGACGCTTCAATCATTTCTAATCACTATGCGCGTTTTTCGTTTTCAATCTAACAAGGACTGCTTTTTTTTTTTTTTACCTCTACAAGGACTCAGTGTACTATCGCTCGCGCTCATTGATCCGCGCGAGTGCATTTATGCAGATTATCATGTCATATACAATTTGTATCTTGTGAGAAAGATATTGAAAATATAGGCAACTATTTATCGTATATACAAAACGCAACTGCTTATTCGAATTGGCCTACATTGAATATATAATGTAATATTTTAAAGTGGTATCAACTGCGAAAGTTAAATGGTTTTTATGCATAATTTCAAATATTAATTTATTGTGTATTATATATCATTAAACTTATAAATTATACACATAAGTAATATTTTTGAAGCCTCCATGGATATTTTCTTCAAAAAAATTAAGCTACGTGGTTTATCTTCGTGGTGTCTTGATATATCATTAAATTGTTTAGATTAACAAATAAATATTGTAAATTTACTTATTAGTAGTATCTCATTAATTGTCGTCATGATGAAGTGCATATAATGTAATATGGTAAATATAAAACAATTCCGTGGATACGCGGTAGAACAAATTTTTACCCTATTTTAGTATGCTATGTTACGTACAGAAAAGTGCATTTGGATCCAAATTTAATTGGTTTCCCGTGTACTATCACCATTATACGCAATGCGGCACTTGTCTTATTACACCATGATGAAATGGACTGTAATGTTCATAAAACGATTTTTCAAGACACGGAGATAATCCGCAAACCGCGTAGCTTTTATGCACATTATACATAAATTATATATATATATATATATATATATATATATATATATTCTATTTATATTTTTTTAATGTGCGGATGTTATTGCTTTTCTATTGTTCGGGTAAAAATTGATGAAGCGTGGTGTTAGCCATTATGCATTATTATTGTTTATAAAACCAACACCGAGAACATTGCGCAGTTACGAAATCTAAATACTATCTAATTTCTGATGCGCTCCTTTATTATCTACACGCCTTAATTATTATACCAGATGTCATAGGCAACACTGTTACACAGCAAATGTTTGTTAGCATATAAGCACTAATAAGTGCAGCCTACGTTTCTTTAAATACTAAGCCGTCCACCTCTGTGTATGACAATGAAATAAGAAACACAAATGGTCAAGAGTAAGAACCTATACTTAGCTCAGCTAGTTAAAGAGAACTTCATGTTACAAGGATATTATGTCGTAATCATCTATTTATACTAATTATTTCTATTAATTAAAAGTACAAAATAATAACGAATAATAACAAAACATTTCATTTTTAATTTTATATTTTACAGTCGAGAACACAATTAGCTAATTTCTTTTCAAATATATAAGTTTTATTAGATAAATTTACTCATTGTTCATTCGGAGACGAAAAAATACACAAAATAACTATGTGATATCCACAGGCTAAATTTATGTAGCACACTTAAAAATTCAAACATTAACATAATAGGAAAGTGTTATATCATACATTCGGGTCATATTTGTGACTCTATGTGAATGAATCGAAATTTTGAGTGTAAAGAGGTTACAGTGATTAATACTGATCTGTATAGCAATAATTACTAGACTCTTTTGTTAGCATTAATAGCACTATACCGTAAATATTATACAAACGTGTACATTGTGTTGTACTTGAAAGTGAAATGAAAACGTCATTCCGTGAGGAGATTCTAGGACTGTGCGAGGTGGGGCACTTAATGAGAAAGGCCTGAAAGCTCACGCACCATTCATAGTAATCCATGTGATTGTGACAGGTAAATTGCTGATCCATATATCGGCCTTCGCATTCGACGTACTGACATATCGGCATATGCTGGCCGTATGTCTATGTCACATTCGTCACAGTGGAGTCTCGTCGAGAGTGGCATCGTTCCTCGGCATCTCCATTTTTTCCTCTTACTTCCTCCCGCGTACGTCCTTAGAGAAACTCATTTCTAGTCGGCGAGATCTATTCCAAGGGCAGCTACTTCGCGTATTCATGATCTGAATTTAATTTCATCGTGGTTAGATGTATGAACGTGAGATATGACGCGATCAGGCCTATAAGTCTCACTTCTGCGATCACCGATCGCCGATTGCGAGGGTGCTCGCAAGGTCACAAGGTCACGGAAGTCTATTCGCTCGTGAGAGATTCAAGAAAGTAAGCTCCTCCTGAATTTTAGGATATATTTCTTGATGGCCCATTCTATTTTATCGTCTCTCTCTCTCTCTCAACTGCATGTTTAAATTATTTATAATGAAACAGTTTATTAATTGAACTTATTTGATATTTATGTACAAATAGAATGTGTTTTCTCATTGTTATATCAATACTCAAATACTTTTAATAATTCTCTGTACTGTCAATAAATGTCGACATAAATTTCATAAGTACATATAATAAATCAATTACAAGCCTTTAATGTCTATTACGAATTTGTTATTCGTAATTGTAATTATTTTTTTAATGCAGTACTTTGATTATGCTTACTTAGTTCTTGGAACTTAAATTGCCTTGCACAGTGCAACGATACGATGAACGCAACTTAATTGCACCAAGCCCAAAATACCGATGTTGTGACAAAGAAAAAACTGAAAGTAATAGGCTGAAAAAGATAGTTTTAGTTGCTAGAAGAATTTTCTTTTATTTCTCTTTCTTGACGTTATACTTGTTATGTGATTTCCGACAAGAAATTCTTTTTCAAAACAATGAATATTTCTTTTTCGTTCTTATAACAAGCAATATTTTCTATATTTACCATAACTTTTTTCTTTTTATATCTTTTATTTAAATTGGTCTTTCTAAATTTTTCAGCAATTAAAATATAGGTTTTTTCATTTTTTTACCTATATTAGTGTTAATTGTAAGATAGAAAAATATTTGAAACAAGTAAATCTTTTCTGAACTTATAATTTTTTAAAATACACATAATATTTTATAAATTATTTAAAAATCCACAACATATCTGGCCACTTCTCTCTACACCATTTGTCAGAGATGCCCTAGCCCTACACCGAAGAGAAACACATTTTCCGGAGCTGTCACAGCCGCGTTTTAATTTACCGCTGACAAAGTGCCGCTGTTGCTCCTCGCCTCTCACGTGTTTAATGACATGCAATTTTGCAATGTATCTTTGCTGAGTCCTTGGGACGGGAAACTATATAAACCGAGTGTTTATAATTGGTCAGGCTAGCTGCCAAGATTTTTAACTAGGCAGGATGTCGTTCTATACGCTTGCCCTATTCTGCGCTACCGCCTTTGTGCTTACTGCGGCTCAGGATTTCGAACTTCGTAAGTCCTTTGTTCAACTATCGATTTCCTTAATCTAAAGGTTATTTCCATAAAATTAAATTTAATTGACTCTATCTCATTTCTCAATTCTGTTCGAGCAAGAAGCAACCTACAACACTTTATCCAAGAGACTTCCTAGGAACATTCTGGAAATATTTTTAGGACAGTAAGACGTCCTCTGCCTTTAAAACGTTCCTTGGAAATCTGTGTCGTACGGAGAAATTAATATA